GCTTAACTAGCTGAAGTGTCCTGCACAGAGTGGGGAGAAGGGGGAGGCTGCACCCAAAATGCTGGGGCAAGAAGTGGGACTTGCTAAGGAAACCAGAGTGGGGTACAGGAGAGGGAAGGAAGGGAAAGCATCCCTCCCCAGAGGTCAGTGGGGCCTAAGTCCAGACGCTGCGGATGACACGGGCGCTCCCTGAGCTGTTCCTTTGAGGTCTGGGCGCTTCTTTCTGGGGGAAATCCAAGTGCAAAGAACCTCCTTGTACCTTGGGCAGCTATGTTGTTGGCTCACATCAACTTGGCGTTACCAACACCGTGCCTGACCCCATTTAAAGCCGTCCCCAAAATAGCAGGTCTGAACTTCGATGCGATGCCAAGGGTCTGTCGTCTTGTTCCCAGGCTCATTTGTCCCACATTAGCACAGAGGCAGCGGGAAGGAGAGATGCACCGACCTGCTATTCCTGGACTGGCAGCAATCACCTTTTTTTTTTTTGGCCTTTTGTAGCAGGATTTCAAGACTGACAAGTGTTTCTGAAAGCCTGACCGAAGAGGAAAGGTGGGAGGAACGGGGCTTGCATCGTTTCAGAAAGAAAAGTGGCTAAGGGGCAACACGATAACAACCTTCCCAAAAGCTAAAGGTTGTTACAAAGAGGACAGTGATCAATTGTTCCCCACGTCCGCCGGGAATAGGCCGAGAAAAACTCCACTTCATTTGCAACAAAGAAGGTTTAAGTTAGATATTAGCTATACATTTTCTAATTATAAAGGTAGCGAAGCAGTAGAATAGATCGTCTAGGGAGACTGAAGAACCTGTTTTGTTAAAGATTTTCAAGAATAGCTTTCACGTGTGTTTGCCAGCGATGTCTCTGCCTTCGTTGCAGGGGGACAAGCTAAATTAGCTCTTGAGGTGCCTTCTACCCACCTATTTTAGGATCTCAGCCATCAGTACAGTCAGCCTAGAAATAAAGGTGCAGTGCTTCCCTCACTGCGGTGCGGACATCCTTGGCTCCTGGTGCTTTCTCTGCCTTAGGGGACCATTCCCAACCATCATACCCTAAAGGAAGCTCCTTCTCCCACCCCTATCCCTCTTCTGTTTGTTTGCTCTTTCTCCCCACAGCACCGCTTCCTCCAGCAGCCCTTGGCAGATTAGCGATACCCCAGCTCCACACTCCCTCCATCCATGGCCGTTTCCCAGCTATATCCCCGAAACCTGGGGAGAAGGAGAGATGCACGGCATGGACCGAGGGTGTCTGGACCCTGGCCCACCCACCACGCCTGTCTGGGGGAGCAAGCAAGCTGCTGAAATCCCAGCTGGAGGGGGGAAAAGCTCCTTTACCCCCAGGCAGCCCGTCCCTTTGGAGAAAGCAGCCTGCCCGGGGGCAGGATTTAATTGCATCCTGAGAGGCTGGAGTGCTCCAGAGCTGCGCCCCCAGGCCCTTTCCTGCTGCAGCAAGGGGAAAATCAGGACCTGCTTAGGGCAACCTGCATACCACCCTATTTCTGGCTGCACCTGGACTAAACCTGTTTAAAAGGGGAGACCCTCTTTCCCAATTCCTTTCACCGCCTTTCCTTTCCTATTGGGCTGCGGGAAGGGGCAAGACATCCCAGAGCCATGTGCCGAGCTTGGCACATCCCTGAAATCTGGCCCTCGGACACCCTGCTTTCCTGGGAGGGAGGGGTACGCGACACTTCCCACAAACTGAACATCATTTAGGATGGGATTATACCGGATTGCGTATTTATTGGGCCCATTTTCCAAGGCAGGAGAGTTAATCCTGGCACCCCAGCCAAATTTTAATTGGGGTCATTAAGGCAGGCTTCTCTTTAATTGGCCACGATCTTCACTTTCATGTCTTGGTCCAGCACGTTGCTGCACATTACGCTCTTGCCACCTTCCACTCAGGAAAGGGCTGGGAGAGCCCTTGAAATTACGGGACCTGCTCCCGAGAGCCGGTATTTCTGTTGTCAGTGGATGAGGATAATCAACACATTCCAGGACTGAGCCCATCGCTGAATCCTCCAGGACTTAACTGTGCTGCTGCAAGGAGTTAAGACAGGACCTTTTTCTCCAGTCCCTAAACATCCCTTCCTAATGATACAGCAAGACACAGGAGGGATGGACCTGGGTGTCTGGTGATACAGGAAATTTAGGTCAGGAAACAGGAATCAGAAGAGAACAGATAGAAATTGTCCTGCATCACCCCGGTGCCTGATAGCGACTTCAGAACTTGTGAGTGATCGACTTTGGCTTAAGAAACTCAGGCAGGTAATAACAGATTGCAAGATAAACAGCAAGGGCCCGGGCTGGCAATGCATCCGCGTTCCCTCCGCGGTTAATGGAGATGGAGAATGTCCGGCTGGGTTTAGTTTGCTTGATTGCTCGAAGAGGTAAGAGAAAATGGAAAGGAAAGAGCGGGTGGGGGTAGGGAAGTAAAGGCCCTGGGTTTGGTTTTTTTCCCCCCCTTCTATTCATTAGGCTGTCAATAACGCTCAGGCCTGGCATATCGACGGCGGATTAGCTCAACCTGGCTCTGTGTACAAGACCAATGCCTTTTTAACCCAGCTTGTTTCCAAATCAATACACCCATCAGCATTCGAAAATTAGCCCGAGACGAGATTCCAATACTCAAGCTGGTATGTCATGCTCAGAGGGTTCCTGGCCAAATCACAGAAGCAGGGAAAAAAAGGTTGCTAGCAAGGGATTAGAAATTTTCCATTAATCTTTCCCCAGGCTGCTTCCATAAAGCTCCCCAGGTCCCATATATCCCAGCGCACAGGCTCTCCCGCACCCACCCAGCCCAGCAGCACGGAGGCCGGCGCTCTCTCGCATGAACACCCAACTGCTTGACCATCGTACGCTCACACGGCATCCCCTCCAGAGCCCGCGCGTGCCTGCGCGCTTGCTGAAGAGCGCACGTGAGTGCGCCCGCTGGGGCACGCTTGGCCGCCGCAAGCGCTCCGCCACCCCATGCTGGACTTCCTCCTCCCCCTCCCAGAAGTAGAGAGTTTCAACACACAAACACATATTGTTGCTAGGCATACACACACCCCCGCAAAGTACACAAATCTGCCAGCTCTCTCTTTTCCCCCAGCACAAGTTTTACTTCAAGCAGTGCCTCCAGCATGGAAAACAAGAAACCCCATCAAAAGACGACGACGACAACAAACAGCAACACGGGTTTGCCAGCGACTGCTTCGGGAGGCAGCTGCCTGTGTCAGAGCCCCATGAAGACTCCAGGGAAGTTGGATCAATGCGACTGCACGTCGCAAGCTTCACTGGGACTCTCCAAACCTGTGGATCAGCCTCTACGTTTGCACCAAGTTGTCTCACACATAGTAGGCTCAACATAGGAGCGATGGGAGGAGGAGACACCGGGGCAAAGGGATGAACAGAAATCAAAGCACAACGCCCAAACCCTCTAAGAATTCTCCCTCCTCTTACCTTGCACGATGAGATGGACGCGCGATGTCTTGGGGTGATTGTCTGTCTGCACGGAGCAGGTGTAGGGGCCCTCATCGTACACGTCCACATCTTGGATCTGGATGCTGTACTGGGTTTTGGTGTTGGCCAAGAGCACCACCCGAGGGTCCAAGCACCACTTGTCATTGCCAGCATAGAGGATGCTGCTGCGGGTCAAAAAGTCGGGTGACTCGGTTGTCCACGGAGCACCTGGAGAGAGGCGGAGAGGTGACCCATCAGCACACCGCTCTTGGGCGCTCTGCCCTCCCTTCCCCAACCCCTCCCAGTCCTCCCAGCACCGTGTACAGCTTCGCTGCCAGCAGCAGTTACAGACCCAGTGCTTTCAGGGTCCAAAAAAGGACAATTTCAGCACTTTACCTGCTTCACAGATATAGAGAGGTCAAAGCCGCCCAGCACCAACGGACCTTTCACCCCTACATTCCCGTTTGCTCCGCTGCAAACTCAGAGACATCCAGAGCCAAGCCAAAACCTCCATCCTGAGTCCAAACTACACTTATTTTTGGGGAACACAGGTTGCTACCTCCTGCCTAAACCCCATCGCTTGTCATTCTCTCCACAGACCTTCCTATCCCTGCAGCCAGGCAACGCAATCCAAAGCGAAGCAGGGAAGCAGTTTGCGCTGCTTCGCAAAGGAGCAAGAAAAATTTATCCGGGGGGAAAGCCAGCTTTGACACACCCCTAAAGAGCAACCTTGAGCTTCTTACCATTTGTCCCCTCTGCCAGTTCTTCGCTTCCTCCCCATCAGCTGCATCGCTGCACCTCCCTCACTTAGTGCACCTCACCCCAGCTAAGGGTGTCCCTTATTGAGCGATGTTTTGGAGGTAGAAACCTTCTGTATCCAGCTTTATTAAGAAAAGGAGCCCACCCCGGAAGACAACGTGGCACAAGCCTAGAAGAGACTTTGCTTCCGAAGGAGATTATTCTTCTGTCCACATTACCGGGGCCAGCCCTTCATCCCCACACCCCCAAGCAAGTCTGGAATCCTCTATTCCCATGAATCATCTCCAGATGAGCAAAGAGCAGAGGGCCTGGAGGCTGCCTGCTGTCCAAGCCCTTCCCTAGAAACTTGCAGCCCTCCAGGCCAGGTAAAACCCCGAGCAAGGCTGGGATTACGGAGCCGTCAGTTGCCGTGCTTTGCTGGATGCCGGCGACGGAGGATAATGTCCCTGCGTAAAACCACTCAGCCTAAGATCCACTTTTTATGTTCTCCCCATCTACTTCATTACTTGTGCAGTGGCTGGGATGAAAATGAACTTGGGAAGCATGGAAAAAGATCACGGCAGCCTCTGGGAGATCTCACAGGGGGTGACCTCAGTGAATGCAAGGGGCTTAACGGGCTACACGCGCCAGGCTGCGGTAGCAGGGGGGTTAACGGCAAGGATGAATCTGTGGCATAAGGATTTATCCTGGCATTTTAGGGACTGTGTCCGTTGTCAGGGCGAGCTGTCTCCTTACTGGTGGGCAACTTCTCTTCCTGTGTCCGCTACAGACGTCAGCGGACACGGGTACCCTCCTGGGGACAAGCTCTCTCATCTCATCTAACCTCTTCTTGGAGGCATCTCTTTGGCCCCAGTGATATCAGGAGAAGCCTAAACAACCCGCTTGTCATCCCCCCCCACCATTTGGAGGGTGGGGACGATGGATCCCCACGAGGTGACGTGCCCAAGGCGAGATGGGTTGTCTGCAGCCCAGGACTCCCCAGCTGATTTGCTAGGCAAGTACCCAAGCCACTGCACCATCCTCCCTCTCTGGTGTGAAAAACATCTGATAAATTAAACCATTTTACTGCTGTTCCATAATGATATTACGATAATAATAAATTAAATGTGAGCAGATTTTTATTATCTACATAAAAAGAAGCAATAGATCCAGCCTGGGCTGAACACCAAGAACTCAGCTGCACTACAACTTGAGCAAAACCTGACAGTTTAGTTGCTCAAGTTGAACAAAACTTGGAGATTTCTTCCCAGAGGATGGGCTTAGTGCATTGTACGGGGACCAAATAAAACACAGGTGGGTATTTGGTGCTTGGCTCTGGCCTGCCCATCCCAAGGCCATGAAATAGGCTCCTGCGGCTGCAGCGAGCAGCGCTTCTGCACAAACACAGGGGTGTCCACCCTCACGGCCAACGCCGTGTCGCCGAGAAGGACTAGATGATGAGGAATCAGACGTGGCCTGAATTTCTCAGACCGGTCCCTTCTGCAGAGATTATCCCCGAGGACCGGTAAAACAGGCTGAACTAAAAATATATATTTCCTCTCTCCTCCTCCACACCAGGTTTTTGGTGAAATGCATCAGCTTGGAGATCCCTGGATAATAATGGAGCCAGACAGTGTGTAATCCAAGCATTCCCTCTATCATATGGGCATTTAAGTGCTTTTGAAAAGCAACGGGGCTCAGGTAACGCATGAGGCAACAGTGAAATAAGTGCTTTCGCCCTTCACAGCACCCGGTCACAATCTCTTCTTATCACCTAGACACGCTTCTCTGTCCCTGGGATCGGCAAGCTTAAAGTTGTTATTTTATTTTCTTCCCGGCCTCTTAAAGCTCCCGAGCCAATATATATATAATAAAGCACGGAAAAAGCTCCCGGGAAAGACACACTTTGACCTCTGGATATGATGTACTATTTAGGGGATGGCGGGTCGTGCTCCTACCCCATCGGGGTCCCCACGGCTGAGGCTGACCGCAGAGACCTGATGCTCTTCCAGCCCCTCCATCTGCTCCCCCTTCCCTCCTCCAGCAGCTCCTTTCTCCAGAAGCCCGGGGCAGGGATGGGAAGCCCTCCTCTCCTGCACACAGGCAGCCGAGCGGAAAGCCTTTGGCTTTGGCTGGGAAGCCAGGCTCCAAGTGTAGGTGGAAAGCAAAGCCAGCGCCAAGCCGGCAGCCTTTCCCTCTTTCCACCCCATTCCTGGCAAGGTGCAATGCCCCAGGGTGCTTCCTCCACCTCGCTGACAGAGTTTGGGCATTTCAAGGCAATTTCACGCATCAACCAGAGGTGAGAGCTGCCCGGATACATCTTCCCTACCCATTCCAACCTCCCTGCTCACGGCCGTGCCCGCACTCCGCGGTCAGTGATGCATGGTGGGTTCAAAGGAGATACAGGCTGCCCTTCCCAGACCCCTTAGCGTCTCCCACAGCCAAAGAGCCCATGGCCAAACGGCAGCCACCACGATCAGCTACGGGGAACAAATGAGTAACAGGGTGCCAAAGCGCCCTGACCGCTGATCCCGCCCATGCGGCACTCAGCCCCCGCTACCTCCCCGCGTTTCTGGCGCAAAACAGATGGCACACGCCAGCAATGACATACCCTCCTGAATTTCTCTCTTTGCTTTCGTGAGTTTGCACACAGAAAATGACGGGAGAGGAGGTGGCCCGGTAGTGGAGGGTTTTAATTACTGAAGTGTAGTAATTGGCACACAACACCTTTTTTTTTTTTTGTTGCCTCTTATGCAGATCGCTGGTGTTCCAGAGGGCTGGGCTGCGGAGCACAGATTGTCTCAACCCAGCAGGACACACAAGAAATGAATAATGTTAATTAGAACTGAAAAGAGCTCTGCGAAATTACCAACCTGATTGCTGCTTTCATTGCAATTATCAGGGTACAAGCTCCATCGCAGGGAGGCAGGGACGGGGCTAAGCCTGGCTCACCCCAGCAAACTTGGTGGCCCAACCTGGGGCTGTGACCAAGCTGAACCCCTCCAGCACTCACTTCTTCTTCCACCACCGTTTAATTTTCACCATCGGCCCACCCTAGAGAAACCCCCCTTCCCAAATCCAGGCCACCTGATAGAGTTTCACACTGACCCACCACCAAGCATCCCTAGACACCTTTTCTTTTTCTTCCCAGACACCTCTGGATTGTGAAGCGCTCTCTTCCACACCAGCAGCGATGGGCTAAACCAAGCTGGAAATCAGCTTGCAGGAACCAGCTTGGGGTTCAGTTTGAATCTGGGTGCGAAAAGCCTCCCTGCAACGTCCCCAGAGTCTCACAGCCCAGCCTCTACACCATCAGCCATGCTATAAATGATCCACTAAACTAGACCGCTGCCGGAGGCAGGAGCTTCGCATCTCAGATTTATTTCTGTGATTATCACATTTTATTGTTATTTATTAGGATTAATTAAAGGCTGGGCTGTGAACAACTCAATCCCATTCAGGCACGGTCCCACCGCTCTCATAGACCTTCCTATGATGTTTATGCTCCAGTGGCGATGGAAGTTTGGTCATTGATTCCTGAGCGAAGGGAAAGCCGGGCTCGGATTGTGCCCTGCTCCTTGGCACAAGTGCTGCCCACGACCCCGCCAAGGTGGCCTGGAAGCTTTTTTTACTAATAAATATTAAGCCAAACCCCTCCTTGCCACAACCCAGTCTGGTTTCCCTCCCGATACTCTTTGCTGTATTGGATTAAGTCACGCACTATCAATTTCTACCAGCCCAGCCCTTCCTTCCGCAGGATTTACAGCATCTGCTGCCTTGCCGTGCACATACGCTCACACGCGCTCGCTGCAGCCCCGTCTGCTCGCACACGCACCGCTGTGCAACGCCACCCCGCACGCCAAGCACCGACCCTGCAGGAAAGGCAAGGGCGTGCTGCAGGTTTTTTGCGGGTGTTGCGTGCGTTGCTACACACGATGCACGTACCGGGAGCGGTCCATAGGTTTGGTCCTGAGCTGCTCAAAGCCCCAGCTGCTTGCCCGGGCGGCTTGAGGCTCATCCCCACTGGGGTCTGCACCATGGCTGACACAGTGGTGGGGTCCTTGGCATGCCCATCCTCACCCTCAACTGCTGGAGGGGGAACCCTAGAGCTCCCCTTGACGTGACACTCCCAAAGACACTAGCCCGAGGACTTCTCCACAGCACAGGATGGCTGTCAGGGCTGAGAAACCCCTTCGTGCCAGGCAGGAGCTGACCGAATGATTAACTCAGCAGCAGGGTCCAGCAGGAGCGAGGGGTCCCCGCTGGGGCTGCTGCCTACCCCCCGTCACCCCCCAGCAGCAGCCAGAGCATCTCCAAAGGCTGCGGGGTGAAGAGGTGCCCTCAGATCAGCTGCCACCCCGGTGCCTCTTCAAAATCACACTGAGCTGGTCAAAAGCAGCACTCAGAAATGGAAAATAAAACCCCTTTGTGCTTCCCACTCTCTTCCCTGCCCAGGCTGAGTTTCATCTCGGCTGTGGCAGAGGGAGTTG